TATGAAAAAGTCCCATATTTTCATCCTTGACAGTCTACTATTACTAAAATGATTATAAATCTACTCTTTTATTATTTTTAAATTCCATTTTGAAAATTCTTTCGTTACAGTAAACTTCTTAAAAATTTAAAAAGTAGTTATTATGTTCCAAAGAAATTAAGTTTTATTTTACCGTTGGGATTTCGCCAATTTTCCGATATGGCTTAATCTTTAAATTTTCATGTCCCAAAACAAAAGCTATCTTGTTACCATAGTTATTTAAACAGTCAACAGTAATAATATTTACCTGTATTTCACATAAAAAGAAATAACAAAGTTACTACATATTCAGGGTATATTTATATTGTATTCTGTACCTGGGACAATTTTCATGACTAAACATGCTAAACCTGTTAAGTTTAAGTGGTGATTACAAATATCCATGGCAACAAAAATTTCTATACAGGACTTTTCTTGTAAATCAATAAAATTTTGAATTAATCTTTAATTGAGTGTAATATGTAACATGATTGACAATTTACCTTTTTATGAAGGTATCTGAATATTTAATCATGTCATGTTATTAAATAAACCAAGTTTATCACAGTTAGATGATTAATATATTAATTCTCTTAATTACATCTATTGTATATTTTATAACAAATTATGAGATTTGTCTAGAAACAATATTTTGAAGATAAAACAGTTTTCAAACAAAATTGACAGTTAAATCTGGCAGGATTTTAGTGCGGAATTATATAAATTATCAGTTTTGATTTAATTCATAAGCCGAATTATTAAAGCAAAAACATGCAATACCAAGGTTAATTATAAAGGTCACTGAACAAAGTTGATATCATCTTGATTAAAGGCTTTTCTTATGGTTATATATACTTTTCAATATATATCTCTACAGAACTTTATTTTTTGGGGTTAATTTTTTCTTTGAAATGTGTGTTTTAGTTAATGGGCTGGATAGGTGGGACATCTATGCAGAGGTGGATCCAGGACCAGCCATAAAGCGATGGGGTGGAGGTGGCCATCGAGGGTTTGCCTTTAAATGACATCTGATCTATTCACTACTCTTAAGATATATATGTTATAATCTTGTATCAATGTGATGACTTCTGGGCCTAAGAAGACTATATTCTTTCTCTGCCACAATTAGTAACACATTAAAGCTAGAAAACTGAGATTATACATCAATTTTTGCATATTTTTGTGTGTGGCTCAGAACAAAATGATTAATTATTGATCAAAATGATGCAAACAAAGCAATGGTATCAATTTTCATAAATTTTAGTACAAGGCATTAATTTAGGATATCATTTATTCATAATTGTCCATTGTAGATCTATAATATATAAAGTTAAGTAAAATGTGAGAAATGTGTTTTATGAAATTTAGCAGACATACCTAGAAGTTGGTGACAATCAATTAATTTATGATACACAAATCAATTTAGATTATCATATTGTACCTATGTTTATATTAATATTCATTGAAATCCTAGTTTAAAAATGTGTTCCACGATATTTGTGATTTTGCAACAGAAACTAAGTTTTTAAGAACTGCAAATTTGACATCTGGAATCAATTTTAAATAGGATATATTATTACCTCATGTATCTATTTTCACTGAAATCCTAGCAAAATAAGTTGTTTTTCAAAATTTGTGACTTCTTATAACAAAAACTTAAGTTTGGACAGCCATTTTTTTTTCAAAACAAAATTGAAAAAGAATAAAAATTTAAACAGTTGGGAACAACTTAAAATAGCTTATTATAACAATATTAAAGCTTTATTATAAATCATATCTATAGATGAAAATATATATATTTCTCAAAATTTTAGATTTTTTTTTTACAAAAAGAAATTTAAGTTTTCACCACAACTGTATTTCCAATTCACACAAATTTATATTAGAACATATTAAAAGCGACCTTTCATTTGTAGATCTACATAACGCTTGTCCATAAAAAGTATTGAAATCAGTTTATACAACATAGAAGTCTTTCCCTCCCCCTCCAAACTATCTTAATCAGATGTATCAGATATATGAAGCTAGATAATCAATATTGAACTTTACTTAGGACTTTCATCTTCTTACATTACAAGTTGGTTCTCAAAAGACAACGCTACACAGCATGCTCCTGGAAATTTTTATTATTTCAAATCATAGTTTACATTATACAGAGTATATAACTATAAGTGAACTTTGTCCATAAGTTTAACTGGTTTGACATAAAATAACTTATAGAAATTTTTTTTGTAATCACAGAAAAGGCATTTGAGTAAATTTTGTTTTATCAAAAACCTTGACAGAGGTAAAGACCTGTTACACAGATTTTCTTGGGGGGGGGGGGGTTATTTCAGGAGAGGGTCTCCCACCAGCTATGGGTGTGAGGTAAGTCTGACCTGATGGTGATGATAAAAGCTTTTCCTATACATTTTTTTGAAGTAAATGGAAAATTTACTGCATATTTCTACCTGAGACAACCTTTTGAAATTGTTTTTCAACTTCTTGACCTGGGGGAGGGGTGCATTCTCACAACACAGAGCAAGCTTCCACAATACAACAAAATAGTTCCAAATTCCCCCAAAATAGTTTGATTTTGGAGAAATATTGAACCATAATCATTCTGACTACACCCTTGATTGGGATATACTGAAAAAGGTTTCTCATTTCCAATTTTATCAAATAAGTAAATAAGTCAAATGTAAAGAAGATTAGTTGAATTACACACTGAAGTTGTCAAGAAATCATATAATATATCTGTTATCCTGTCATTCAAAAGTGATCTAGAAATCATGCAGGACTATGAAGGGGCAGACAAACAGAGGTGTTAATATAATGATGATAAATAATTAACTAGTTTTCATGAGCAATTAAGCATGTAATAAGGTTATATCAATTGTATATAAATCACGGCTGGTAATCTACACACGCAGAACAATCGGTTCTGCAATGAAAACCGTGAGAGGATTTTCCGGTTATGCTTGAGTGGAGTAATTGTCACCGCTTCGAAAGGTATGTACATTTCTAAATCGAAATTTTCTAGTTCAATTGATCAAAATATTGAAAATCGGAGAATGCTATGCTGTGGTGAATACTTTAACGAAGAGACACATGTATCATTAACTGTTGTGCATGGAGTAAAACTCCTACAAAATCAATCGTCCCACGAGTAATTGATGAAAAAAGTGACATTTCAATTTTGAGATGGTTCTATTAACAGACCTACAAGTTCAAATTTAGTTTTTTTTCTGTCAACGGGATTGAATGTCGTTTTGGGCGGCGTGTACGCTGTCCGAAGTTGAAAGACGTCGTAATTAATCTAGAAACTGCCAATTTTCATTATTTCATGCGTGAGGGGATCGGTTCTGATTAAGGACATCGTGAATGCGTGAGAGGAAGTGCAATTATAGTCAATCATAAATCTAAACCACTTATATTTACGTTGCAGCCATTTCCATATTCATTGTCAATTTATATTTAGTATGAACTTCAATAAAACTGTGCAAGTTACTTGCCTTTCTTTGAAAAAAGTAAAATCACAAAAATACTAAACTCCGAGGAAAATTAAAAAAAGTCCCTAATCAAATGGCAGAATCAAATGATAAAACACATCAAACGAATGGACAACAACTGTCATATTTCTGACTTGGTACAGGTATTTTCAAATGTAGAAATGGTGGATTGAACCTGGTTTTATAGCGCTAAACCTCTCACTTGTATGACAGTCGCATCAAATTCCATTATATTTACAACGATGCGTGAACAAAACAGACATAATAGGTAAAGTTGTCAAAATAGGGGTCAGCAGTCATCACCATGTCACAATCTCAATTAGAACAAAAACAAACAAATATTTAACAAAGAAGCATAAAAAAGTATCTATCAAATTTAGCAACCACATTCATTGCTTACTTATATATGTATTTTAAATCAACCAATAAAGGATTGAAATATTTGAAGGCCTGTGACTGAATGGCAAGGTTCACATCAACTCTAGTGTAGAGTCGCGTGTTTGACGTCAGAATGTAAACGTCACACAGTAAGAGATATAAAATAATTTTGTCGTTGAAGTGATTGTTGCATTTTTCGATATAAAGATATGTTTGCACTTCCCCTCACGCATTCACGGTGTCCTCAATCAGAACAGTTCCCCTCACGCATGAAATAATGAAAATTAGCAGTTTTTAGATTTATTAAGACGTCTATCAACTTCAGACAGCGTACACGCCGCTCAAAACGACATTCAATCCTGTTAACAGATTAAAAACTAAATTTGAACTTGTAGGTCTGTTAATAGAACCATCTCAAAATTGAAATGTCACTTTTTTCATCAATTACTCGTGGGACGACTGATTTTGTAGGAGTTTTACTCCATGCATAACAGTAAATGATACATATGTCTCTTCGTTAAAGTATTCACCACAGCATAGCATTCTCCGATTTTCAATATTATGATCAATTGAACTAGAAAATTTCGATTTAGAAATGTACATACCTTTCGAAGCGGTGACAATTACTCCACTCAAGCATAACCGGAAAATCCTCTCACGGTTTTCATTGCAGAACCGATTGTTCTGCGTGTGTAGATTACCAGCCGTGTAAATTGGTTTAAATTTATCATCTGTTCTTTTGCACGAAAAAAGTGATCACGAAAATTCGTCTGCAATTTAATTTCTCAAAAATATCAAGTTTTTCTTTTTGCTGTTTATTACAAATTGACAAGGTGTGCTTAATTTGATATGATTTAAAAATTTGGCACTTAATCAAAAATAATAAACCGGCTTGGTCAAACCTTGACATTAATTTTTTGATAAAACCGTTTTGGGTTGAAAAGTACAAAAAAATGTTTCAACTTTAAATTTCAAGAAACACCTAAAAACAAAAATATAGACTGTGACATTTTAAAATATCTATATAAATTTAAAAACTTAGCTACATACCACATAAAGCAATGTTATTTTAAGCCAGAAAGAACTTTTTTGGGAACAAAATTTGCTAGTTACCTCTGTCCCAAATCATGTGTAAAAGTTGAAAAAGTAGTCTCGCTAATTGTCACAGTTCGCGAGATTTTCCGTGAGTCCAGTTTTCTGAAATTCTCAAAATCAGCCTAATTTACTCCGTGTAACTTTGATTTGAAGTGAACAATGACTTGATTTGTAATCTCTCTTTGTAAATTTAAACCGACTGAACGGGATTTTTCAAGTTTAAACATTTTTACTGTACGGTCACCTTGACAACAATCGGCCATTTTTTGTAATCAAAACATTTACAACGTGTTTTAGGTTTGTGCGGTAAAATGTCAGATAACGAAGCTGAGGAAACTTTTGGAGAGGAAGAGGACAATGCGGAGGAAGCAGGAGGAGAAGAAGGAGATGAGGAAGTTCTTGGTGAAGAGGAAGAAAAACTTGGAGAAGAAGAAGAAGTAGAAGAAGAGGAGGTGTTTAATGCTGACGATAAAAAAGGGGGAGGGGAGAAAACAATATATCATAATCATATATATCGTAGTATAGGTGCATCTTTATAAAGAGACAAATGTTTTAGATTCATTTGATAAGGAAGTTGATTCAATATACATTGAAGAAAACAAGTTGAATCGGCCTGCCCTTGAAACATCATGTTTATTTTTATTTTCAATGTTTACATTTTGATTTATGCTAATTTTGATCTAAAAAAATGATATAGAGTTTAATCTCTGCTTTTTTTGTCTCTGAAATCAAGTACTATATATTGAGATGCTAAAAAATTACCTGCAAAATGTTTATGTTCCTTAAATGGCGTACAAAATATTAGTTTTGATTTATTTGTTGGTTGCTTTAAAACGTCCGGTGGTATTATTTTGGAGCTTGAGACATACAATGTATTGTGAAATTGTATTCTTTTTACTTTAAAGTAAACTACTTAGATGATTCTATTTTTGTTTAAAATATTGAACCTTTTATTAAGGGCATATGATACAGTAGCAAGGACAGATCATTATACATAGAAATTTAACTAGTTGTTTTCATAACATTCATGATTACTAAAGATAAGCCATCAAGATTCGTGGAAAAATCTCCAAAATTTCTTAACTTACTTGCTGCCTGTAGTTTTATATGGTTGTATTTCGTGCTCTACAAAACACGACAGCTGGACATCTGTGACGTCACATGCCCAAATGACTTCACACCCTAATAACTTTACATTAGGTTGAGACTCCTAAAGTAAAGTTAAAATTTAAAATAACATTACAATAAATTTGGCACAGAAATAACATTTACACTTCATTATCTTGTATATTTTTGATATTAATTATAATGTTTAATTACAGAAAGTACCAGATTTGGCATTAACAGAAGAGCATATAGCAGAATGTTTGTCGTTGCTTTGTAAAACTGGAGATGGTTTGGCTCATGCTTATGTTAGACTAGATGTTCATGATAGGTAAAAATATGAATTCTATTTTCATACCCCCACAACTCTAAATGTGGGGTTTTATTGTTATAAAAACCCATTTGTTCAATAAATATTTTCGTCACACTTTTCTCAGAAACTGCTCAACAGAATGACTTCATATTTGGTCAGCAGCTGGACAGTAATGAGTTGTAACGTGAGATCATTTTTCAGATCTACTTCTTTGAAAGATTGCAGCAAGACTTGAGTAATCATAGATATTACATTCCTGTTTGCAGATATTTAAATTTTTTAACATAGTGAATGAACTTAAAAAATTATCCATATACGTTTCTTCAATACTACTGAAAAGAGCAACTTCATATTTGATCAGCACCCCAACAATGATAAGTTGTAACTTATGTGTGTGAGCTTTTCAAATCTGATTAGACACCTACTTGCTGTTTTCAGATGTTTTGAATTAAGAGGGGTATACAGAGCATGACAATTCATGCATTCTTATTTATTCCTTTTTGATCACTAAGACCTAAATTTTATGTACATTTGTGTATATGTAAGAATGAGTCCCAGTTAATGTGTGTTCAGGTCAAATCCAAACAAAACCAAAAAAAAGAATGAAATAAGGGGATAAGTTGTTATTTGTGATGGCTCTATCTCATAAACTGTGTCTTAAATTATTTGCTGGGTACCAGTTTTGTGCATTTCAATGGTGAAAGTAAACCATAAATTTAAATGTTCAATGAAGTACACATTTTCTATATGTTTTTATGCAAAATCAAGAATTGAAAAATCCATGAAAATATGAGTTTTCCTCAATCAGCGAAAAATTGTACCATGAGAATAATGAATCCACAGTATTTGAGTGTATGGTATTTAAATATTTTTTCTATGTACATATAAAAAAAAAATTCTGATGAGAAAATTTTTCCTTTTTCAGACAACTGACAGACATAAATATTCTGAAATCGTTCATTCACCTTCGGTACCTGGATCTAAGCAAGAACAATCTTAAAGACATCTCATGTCTTAGTGCCCTTACACATTTATTGACATTGAAAGCGGATTACAATATGTTAACAACAGTCAAACTTGAGGAAATGCCCTTTTTACAAGTGGCCAGTTTTAACGACAATAAAATGAAAACATTGGAAGGATGCAGTCATCCCATGTTGGAACATCTGAGTGTAAATAGTAAGTTTTAAACTGTTTTTAAAAAAGAATGTTAATTTATTTGTTAGAAAAACTTACTTTTCTCAGATATCCCTCTTTTATAGAGAAATCAACATATGACTTCTGTGCACTAAATACATTTGTCTTGAAAAGCTGTTAACTAGAGCGAGTTATCTCCCCTGATACTATATTTTGTCAAGAAATAACTTACAAGAAATTATGTTTGAATTCAATTGTCTAAACATAAATAAAAGAAATAAATAACACATGTGTTAACATTTATTCCTTTTCTCTCTCAAATTTTTAATTCTTTCTGGAAATTTAATTTTGTCATTTTATATTGTTCCATGGGAGATAACCCCAATTCAATATGAAAAACCATGCTGTCAACATCTGACAGTAGTGTAGCCTTAATTTGAATATGTTAATTTTTAGATTTATATTGTCCATAGTTTTAATTTTGATTATAATTTTATTTCTACTCTCTCAGCTCCAGGGCCTGCAATTTTACTTTTTACTTGAAAGAAATTTGTTTTTACAGAAATAGTATTAGGGTAGACAAATTTCAGATAAGAAAACTAATGTTGGAATTCCCTGGAAAAAAAATGGATTTGGAGTTCAAACAACATCAACCAAAATATTGAAAATGTCTCGATGTGAGGAATAGGGTGAAATCCCTGCTCCATATTTCTGATTTCATTTAATTTTAATTAGGTGTAGGGGGGTCCTAGACTTGCTACATGTACATGTTCCTTCCTAATTTTCTTTTTTTTCAATTTTATCCGTTTAATAATTTTACTGCTATAACTAAGAGATTGCCATTATATTGACATCTACAGAGGAAGGGGCAATCAGTATACTGGGACATTCAGTATCATGGCAGTTTTCAGTAAACATATAGATTAGTGAGAAAGAAATAAAAGAAAGGGAAATGTAGCAACATCTAGGGGTCCAAGATATATCATTATACAAAATATGCTGCAGATTTATTCTTGCATTAGGAATTTATGATAAAATAATACCAATCTATCATTTCAGATAATTTAATATCAAAAGTCGATACTTTAGAACCAGCAAAGTTAGCCAGACTTCATACGCTAGAGTTACGAGGCAATAAATTAACAACGACAGATGGTTTCAACCTGCCTAACTTAAAAAATCTCTTTTTGGTAAGATATTTTGAAATAATTAATTCCGTGTAGGCAAATTTTGCCAACAGCAAAGGAATAGATATAGTAAGAACAAATATAATACTTAGTTGATGGATGCCTTATATTTTTATATTTTGATAACCAATGAATATGGACATTTTTTAATTGAATTTGGTTGAAAATTGAAATTTATGCTTATTTTGACATCATTAAAAGAACACTGAAACAAAACGGTTCTATTTCCTATAATATTGTTTTGTCAATGACAGTGTTTTCCCCAGATATTTCATACAGCATCCTGGTAAACAGGGAAATTTGAAATACCATCTTTTTTCTAAATATAATAGCATTACATCCATAACACAGTCTGTAGGAAAATCAATTCAGATAGCATCACATTTAAGAAATATAGCATCACATTACAATGATTTTAAAAGGCCTTGGGGAGAATGCTGTATGAATGTGGCAGTTAAATTGTAGTTTAATTTTTTTTTTTTTTATGACATATAAGATAAGAGCCTTATAAAACCTTCTCCTTTGTTGCAATTGTGCATGTGATGAAATGGTTTTGAAAGGATATAGACATAACTTTAAATAGTAAAATCAAAGCTATGTCCAGATAAACTTCATGCATAGTCATTGAAGACAAAAAGTAAGGGATTGTTTTCTGAAAAACTTTCATTTTACCGCTTTAATTTAAACATAATAAGTCATGGTTTCTCTATATTTGACTGGCAGGTGTCGTTTAAACTTGACTTACATTTTCGTAAAAATTAAGGTATTGTTATCAAATAAAAGATTTTATTTTACTTTTGTAAGCCAGTAGTCTAAAACCTTTTGCAATTTACTCAGAAAATTTCCTTGAATATTGTGCACAGTGAAATGATTTTTCTGAAACTTTCACTGTAACTTTTAGTTCAGGATTTCTTAAAGGAATTATCATAAACAGCATGGATAATGGGAGATAACTCAAAACATTTTTATTTTCAACTCTGCAAAATTGTGATATGTAATGGTTTCCTTCTGAAAATTTTGATGTGGTAATATAGTGAAAATCCTTTTTAAAAAAATTGCATTAAACAAAGTTTAAAGATATCAAAATACAGTAAAAATTAAAAGTCAAGATTTTGAGATTGATTGAGAGACAACATTAAGTAAAAACACAATCAAAAGACAAAACAATAGCTCAAATACTACTCAGAAAACTGAAGATTGAGGAACAAATATATGTTAAAAAAATGATGATGAACTCAGGTATTCTGGTAGAGTAAGAAGCTTCTGCTCCACCAGCAGTGACACAAATTCAATGGATTTTATAATCACAATAACAATTGGACATTCTTATACAATAGCAACTACCTTGGAAATCATAAATGAGAAACATTTAAATATATAAAGATATAGAGATCTGGTATGATTGCTAGTGAGACA